GCCCTGTCTCTCTCACACCTGAAGAAGGCTCCACGGCCGAAACGTTGTGTTCTCTTTCTTCTTTTTTTCAGCATGGAATAAACCTATTACTTGATACTTTAAGTGATGTGCTGGAGAGACTTGTTAAACACATTTGTTCTACATAACTTTCCAAAAAAAACTATAACACATTTATTCAGGACTGCATAGCCTGATATGGCTCACAGTTTAAACGAAGGTAGCACTCCTCACCTTCAGAACTGGGGCTTTTTCCTCACAGATGAGAACCCTGATGTCGGGACTCCGGAGATCTGTACAGTAGATTTTTCTGTCCCGTCCCCCGGAGTAAACGTGGGTGAAGGCTTCATTAACCTGGAGAGCCCAGACTCCTTCATCATGTACTCGGTACGTGGCTATACACCTCTGCTGACCCAAGGACCACAGGCGGATTGTCCCATCAGAGCTGCCAGATAAACACTGTTCCAGAGAGAAATTCAATTTTCAATCAATGCCAACTGCTAGTCCAAAAATATATGGAGGCTCATTCACTGTCATTTCAGTGCAGGAATTGTGTTTTTTGATAAAGTTATTGATCCAGAAACTGTCACTTGCTCATATGGAGCCATACCTTCACATCTTTTGCAGAAACTTGTGTGCTTTTCAGAAACAATGTTATCAACTGCATATCACGAGTGGTTGTGATGATATCTGTAAAATTTATTCTTTCTACTTTTTATTTGGAGTTCTTAGAAAAGCACAACGATTTTGTGAAAATCATTAATGTACAATATTAATAAAACAGAATTATTTCCCTGCAGATTTAGCCAAAAGGATCATAAAGAGTCCTGCAAATAGGATGGGATGCATTTCAATCCATCACTGCAATGCAGCAGCCATCTTTCTGATGTATGGCACACATTTAGCGCCAGGAGCTAAATGTGAGAAGCAGGAGAAGTGAGAAATTATTTTACTGATTGGATGACGAAGGACATTTATGTAAACCAGATTGTGTTAGCACAAAGCAGAATTCAGCCAGGTCTCAGGGGTTAATGACCCTTACTCTTGCAAAGTGAGCCTGGGAATCTTTAACAGTCAGAAACTTGGCTTAATGGCTCATCTGAAAGAAAGCA